TGGATACATGTTCCTTGAAGAGCCCTGGAGAAATTCCCTTGGTCAAAGGATCAGCAATCATCAACTGAGTCGGCAGATGAGGAACCTCAATCAATTCTTGTTCGACCTTATCAAGGACTAACAAGTACTTCACAGCGATGTGCTTATTCCTGCTAGAAAAGTTCTTGTTCTTTACAAATTGTACGACTACCTGATTGTCACAATACAATTTTACTGGTCTCTGAATGGAATCCACCACCTTTAGTTCACTGATGAAATTCTTGAGCCAAGAGGCATGCAATGTTGCTTCAAAAACAGCAACATACTCTGCCTCCATGGTGGATGTCGTCACTAAGGACTGCTTGGCACTTTTCCAGGAAACTGCTCCTCCAGCGAGTAGAAATATATAACCTGATGTTGATTTCCTGCTATCCGCACATCCGGCAAAATCTGAATCTGAATAACCAACGACTTCTAGATTTTCAGACCTTCTGTAGACCAACATAAAATCCTTGGTCCTTTGCAAATACCGCAAAACCTTCTTTACAGCTTTCCAATGAGCTACACCAGGATTTTGCTGAAACCTACCTAATATTCCTACGATATAACTGATGTCCGGCATGATGCATGACACCGCATACATTAGACTGCCAACTGCAGAGACATACTCCTCAGAGTTCACGAGCCTACGCTCAACTTCATTTCGTGGACATTGAGATTTGTTGAACATATCTCCTTTAACAACTGGGGCTTCACCTGGTGCACAAAACTTCATGCCATATCGCTGAAGGACTTTCTCAATGTAAGCCCTTTGAGATAAGCCCAACAAGCCTTTAGTACGATCTCTATGGATCTTGATGCCCAAAACATAATGAGCATCTCCGAGGTCTTTCATATCAAAATGCCTCGAAAGAAAATCTTTAGTCTCATGTAGAAGATGAATATCACTGCTAGCTAGCAATATATCATCTGCATATAATACTAGAATGAGGAATCGACTCCCACTAATTTTGAGGTATATGCAGCGATCGACATGATTCTCTCGGAAGCCATTTGATGTTATTACTTGATGAAATTTTAAGTACCACTGTCTGGAAGCCTGTTTGAGACCATATATTGACTTCTTCAATTTGCAGACCAAATCTCCCTTAACTGCAAACCCTTCAGGCTGCAACATAAAGATTTCCTCATTCAGATCTCCATTCAAGAATGCAGTCTTGACATCCATCTGATGGAGCTCAAGATCAAAATGGGCGACGAGAGCAAGAACTATCCTGAGAGAATCTTTCTTAGATACTGGAGAAAAAGTGTCGACGTAGTCAATCCCTTCTCTCTGCTTGAAACCCTTGGCCACTAGCCTGGCCTTGAATCTCTCAATATTTCCTTCAGAATCCCTTTTAGTCTTGAAGACCCATTTGCATTCCATCGCTCTAGCTTTGTTCGGCAAAGGTACCAACTCCCAAATAGAGTTCTTTTCCATTGACTGAAGCTCTTCTTCCATATCCTTCAGCCAATCAGCTGCATGAATACTGTCTCTAGCTTCTGAGTATGATAAGGGATCATCAGATTCTGGATCAATGCATCCACTTTCTTGAAGATAGACCTCATAGTCATCAGGTATGGCAGATCTTCTGACTCTAGAGGATCTTCTAACAGGTTGTGGCTCTTCCGCAGGTACAAAAGTTTCTTGAAATGGAGGAAGTGACATGCTATCTGGAAGAGTAGGGAATCTAGAAATGACATCTAATAGCGGAAGCGACTGCTCATCTTCTAAAACTTCCTCAAAACTCAGACCACGATGTTCTGAAGAAGCATTAGGGTCTTCCAGAAACTCAGCATGTTGTGTCACTCAGACCACGATGTTCTGAAGAAGCATTAGGGTCTTCCAGAAACTCAGCATGTTGTGTCTCAAAGAATTGGGTAGACCGAGAAGAACAATAGAACCTGTAGCCCTTAGATCTTGTAGGATAGCCGACAAAGCGACACGACACTGTTCGGGCTTCTAATTTCTTAATGTCTGGATTATAAGGTCGCGCCTCTGCTGGACATCCCCAAACACGTAGATGACCAAGACTAAGATCCCTGCCAGTCCAAATCTTGAACGAGGTCTCTGCTACCGCCTTACAAGGAAGACGATTGATGATATATACAGCTGTCTTCAATGCCTTACCCTAAAAACTTTCAGGCAAATCTGAATGACTCATCATGCTGCGAACAACATCTTGATAAGTACGATTTCTTCTTTCAGCTACTCCATTTTGCTGCGGAGAAACTGGGAGAGTGTACTGAGGAACAATGCCTTGTGACCTCAAATACTCAATGAAGGGACCATGATTTGTGCCGTCCTGATCGCTTTTACCATAGAATTCCCCACCTCGATCAGAACGCACAGATTTAATCTTTCTTTCTAATTGTTTTTCAACTTCAGCTTGAAAGATCTTGAAAACATCAAGCTCCTCATATTTGTGGTGAAGAAGAAAAATATAGGCATAGCGCGAAAAATCATCTATGAAAGAGATGAAGTATCGCTGACCACCATGAGAGGGAGTGGGAAAAGGTCCACAAATATCTGTATGAATGAGATCAATGAGACCTTCACTCTTGGAGGCTTCAAATTTTCTCAATTTAGTCATCTTTCCCTTGATACAGTCAACACATGTACCAAAATCAGAGAAATCTAACTGTTCAAGAACACCAAACTTTACTAAGGATTCCAATCGCTTTCTTGAAGCATGTCCCAATCTCTAGTGCCAAAGTATGGAAGAATTGATATTAAGCCTAGGACGCTTTGTACCAGACAAAGATGAATTCACAGACATGCAGAGAGGGGAAGGAAAAGATGCATCCAGATTTAATCTATAAAGACCGTCAATCAAGAAACCATGTTCGATAACATCCTAACCATTTCTGATGGAGACAGAATTATTCTCGAAAACAAAGCTATAACCAGATCCAGAAAGTCTAGAAATTGAAATAAGATTCCTTCTCATAGAAGGTACGTAGAAAGTGTCTGATAAAACTAAGGAAATTCCAGAATCCAAGCGCAGACTGAAAGTCCCAACGAGCTCCACCTTCAAAGGCTGTGAGTTTCCCAAAAACAACTGCTCATTTGCCCTTGCCTTCCGACTGTGGATTATTCCTTGTAATGAAGTTGAAATGTGCACAGAGGCACCAGAATCAATCCACCAAGAATTTGAAGAACCGTCAACTAAATTTGTTTCACAACAAACATGAACTAAATCCCTACAAATTGTACTGTACTGTCTCACTCTAACGGATTCCTCATTCTGCTTCTGGATAAACTGTTCGTTCATCTGTATTAAACCATGGACATATAAATCAAATGAGACCTTCAATTTTATTAACTTTAATATTTCCACATCCAATTTAGGGTTAGAATAGATGGGCCAGAGTGTTTTACGTATGCAACCTTCCACTCTGCGGGATAGGCGGGTGCATCATCTCATCACACCTTTGGGCAAGTGATTTGACATGCTATTCGCCCCCCAAATGTGATATATAATCACCTACAGAACTAGCCTACACAGTGTCAGTTTGATTTGAACACTTCCTAACCTTTGGGCAATAGGGTTATTCTCCTCTCACTGACATGTTTCAACTATCCTGCACCACTTATCCTGTAGGGGATTTCCTAGACACCTTTGGGCAAGACTAGTAGTCCACCCACAGGTAAGTGCAACCTACCAGTCCAAATGAGATTAAACTCAACCTTAGAAAGTTAGGGTATTATAGGTTGGTCACCTTTGGGCAAGACACTAACCTACTCTACCACAATTTCTAAGTGACTGTTTTACTGATCTTCCTTAACCCCATAGGTTGATCTAATACTGTAATCCATTTTATCATGAACCCAAATATTTACCCCACCTAAATTAAGGATATAATAAGGGTAAATCAATTATCTTTATGTGCATACAATAATCTTTATGAATTGTCCAAATTCCTGTATTAAAACTTTATAAAATAAAAACTATGTAGTTGAAAAGTACACATAATGATATTTCCAACGACTATTTATGGGCTCAAAACGGACTTAAAACGGATCTGTAGCGACCAAAACATAATGAATGGTCAAAACTGTAATGGGTCGGGTCTGGAAATTAATGGATCTGACCCATTACTGTAGCGGGTCAGGTCCTAACATACTGGATCGGGTCTGGCTTAATGGGTTATAGGGTTATATAACTCAAATAATAGATTAATTAATTAATCAAAACCCTAACCCTAAACCCACCGGACCCATTACTGTAGCGGGCCATGAACATGATTTACGGCCGTAATAGAACGGTAGAGCTTTAAAAAAAACTTATATATATATATATATTATTAATCCACTAGTTCACCGCTAGTCTATATGCGGCCATGACTGCAGAGCTTTTCCAGTTAACAAAAGAAATAATATTCTAGATCAAAAATAATATTCATTGGAAAAGTTTGCTGCGGCCATGATTAAAAAAAAAATTGCTGCAGAAAAGTTCCGTGGTCATGGCAGGAGATTTCTTCATCTAGTGGCAAAGATGAAATTATTGTAGATCAAAAGAACTCCAGCAACAAAAGAAAGACCCACCAAAAAATTATTATTATTTTAATCCGAAAATAAAAACTTTAATTCTAGATCAAAAAATCATGCACAACCTATGCTCTGATACCACTGTTGGATTATTTAACGATCTAGGCATGAGAAATTAAACTAGAAAAATAGATCTAAATTACCGTTCACCGTCGAAAACAATGGAAGTCTTCTCCTCTCTCCTCCCGTAGCCAATGATGGGAATTAGGTCTCTTTTCTGCGTACGGTTGAGAGGAGGGACTCCCACCCTTTAAATAGATATTTGTGATTAACCCTACCCATCATGGTTTAATCACAACCGTGAGATTACACTCCGGTTGATCCTATCCTTTAGATATTCAAGATAACCACCCAACTTGATAAACTTGAAACTGTCTAACCAGACCATATGGTTAGCATCCTGATCCTAACTTGAATCGATAGCAACTTTAAATCAAATCCAAAATCGAGTAGGTTGGGCCACTTGGGTTCGTTGGATTAATCGAACCCAACATCCGACCCCCATTTCGACATTTGGATCCGTTTCTAGTGAATGATGTTTGGGGATGTAACTTAGTGATAAACTCTCCTTCGTTTAGGGTTCAGGTACTAGTACATTGCATTGGGGCCCGGCCCATGAATTTATTGGGCTTCGTGTAACTCCACTTTTTATCATTTTCAGTTGACTCGACTTGCATGTGGTGGCTTTATACTCGCTGACACCTTCAACCACTGTATTTGCGACGGTTTCGGCGCGCACCAATTCATAACCGCGGTGGCCGACCTCGCCCACAACCCCGCCCTCACTTCCCCGTCGATCATTCCTGCGTTGCCCCGTGAAATCCTCGCTCCACCCTCTGAATGTCACTTACACACATCCAGAATATGACCAAGTGGACAACGTAACTCCACGTCCATCGCCTCCGACTGAACTCGACTTCCGCCAGCTTTACTCAGACTTCCGTATTCTTCTCACGCACCAACATGGCGTCCCTCAAGCGGAAGACCGCCTCTAGACCCACCTTTGATTCTGTCGCCGCCTATCTCTGGAGGGCCCGGACCCATGCCCTGTGTCTTGTGGGACCCACCCGACTCCTCTTCCCGGTTGACACTCGGTCCCGCTACCGCCCCCCTCCCAGCGACCTACTATGGTGCCGCTGTGGTCTTCCCGTGCGCCATAACTGACGCCAGCGACCTCGGACGACCGTTGAAGACAGCCGACAATCAAATCACAGCCTCAAAAAGCGTCAAGTCAAACGACGAGTATAGGTCATCAACGGTTGACTTTATGGAGGTCAACAAGAGGAGGGGGTTCTACAGGGGGCTGGCGGCGTTCGTGGTCTCTGACATGAGCAGGTTGAGGTTTGCTGCTGTGGACTTTGGGTGGGGTCAAGGGATCTATGGTGGGCGCGCGAGGGCTGGCACTGGGGCTGTGCCGTGGATGGTGAC